GCTAAGTGCAAAATCAACTTCTATGACTCAAGAGCTCAACCAGGTCAAAGCTTTGGTGGAGGCTGTTTTGGTGACAACCAAAGCTTATTAAGATTCTGTTTAGAGGTTTGCCCCCAAACAAAAACTCCTGRTCCACAAAGCTTAACAACTAAATAAATAATAAAGTAACTATACAAAGAGAACAAGCCATGACTCCCCTTCAAATAAGGGTTAGTTTCCTAGGCAGCAGTTCTGAAAGCACCAACTAAAGCCACAATGCTTCTACTAAAACGACGTGTTGTAATCGGTGAGACTCTTCTGAAAACAAATGGCACAGACACGTGGCTGATGTGCCACAGGAAAAAGTTCAACAAAATCTAAGTCAGTGTTCTTACACTGTAAAATAAGCTGGTCAGCAACACAGGAAAGACTTAAGGCAATAAAAGGCATTACAGAGAGCACCACCGTGCTCTTTGAGGCAATCCTAAAGTCTTCCAAGAAGGAAAAATGTCTCAATGGTTTGGTTAAGTTTGCTAGCTGTCAGACACTATTTCCTCCTCCTCCTCGTCATCCTCATCTTCCTTTCTGTCTAGTTCAGAGGTATCTGATGACTCATGAAGCAAGACATACTCTCTGCTGCTGAATCCAAATTTAAGCACATCCTTTTCTTTCAGTTCATAATATCTCTGTGGCTCAATGCGCTTGTTGTTCAAGAAGGTTCCATTGCCTGAGCCAAGGTCAATGATGTAGGGCTTCACCCTTCGGCCAACTGTGCCATCAGCACGGGTGTATTCCACAAGCCTAGCAAGAGAGAAAGGAGACAGCCTATGAGGAAAATCCTGCCTCGGATCATCTAGCCTTCTCTAGAGCTAATGATGTCAATAAATTGGCTGAAACATGATTCAAGTTAAAACTTTAGGAAACTAAGGGGGAAAGCATTGCCTTGGATAGGGAAATTGGGAGCAGCTTAAATATACTTAGTACCAAGGTAAGAATGTACATTTGGGTTCATTCTTGGGGGGTAGATCAAAAGTTTGAAATGCAGAATTCAAGTCTTTTGCCATGAAAAAGAAAATTTTTCCCCTGTTGTTTCTAATCAATAAAATGCTTCTTAAACCTATATTTTGATGTTTTAGCTTCATTCCAAATGGAGAAAACCATGGCCTTGGACTTCAAAGTCAAGGGAGCCAAACTTGAGCCAGAGTTCTATTATGGCAATTATTTATTAGGAAGTCACCTGGCTTTGCTGAGCTTTAGTTTTCTCATCTGTCAGATGGAGATATTAATACTGATCCTATCTTTCTCACAGGATTGTTCTGAGAATCAAATGGTCACAGATATACTATGCAAGCTATGCAGATTTAGGTAACATATATGCCAGGCATTTTTTGGTATATTTCCATTTAAACCTCATAACAGCCCTGTAGGGAAGATGGAAACAGGCCCTGAGAGAAGCTTGCCCAGGGTCAAATACTTGTAACTGGCAATGACAGAATTTTAAATCTGGGTTTCTGATACCAGGATCAAGCTCTTCTACACATATAAGCAATTAGTAAATGTGCATTTAGATTTACAGTACTCTTTAAAATTAACATTAGGGCTGGGGACGCAGCTCAGTGGTAGAGCACTTGCCTAGCATGCATGGGGCCCTAGGTCTATTCCCAGCATGGCAGGATGCAAGGGGGAAAGGTATTTAATATTAGACACGACGGGTACTGGATTTTTCTGCAAATACATGATGCAAATCTTAGTAATCCTAACTAAGGAAGCTATTTGGCTTCTGCTGGCATTTCAGGTTCTTCCTCTGAAGGCATACCTACCGATACTGAAAGACTGCATGTTGCTTTGAACACGAGGGATGATCAATTGGAATGTCTGCAATGCGGCGATGTCGACCCAAAAGGTAGGCACTCTGTCGATGGATATACATGRCTGGAAGTACCTCATCATTTTTAAAGGGGTAGAGACGCCATCGTTTTTTGGGGATACGAGCTTCTGGGGGCTCRCTGTATTTAATGACTACACCCCGGAAAGTGTTGGTGTCCTCAAGAAGTGCACCAGAAAGTTCACAGCTTGGTTTTTCTTTAGCAGGCACCTCTTTGTCTTTATTATTGCCACCAGGTCGAGGAATCACCTCCTGAGCCTCATTAGCACTGCCACTGATTTCATTCTTCTGGCGATGCTCCCGGCGCCTGGCATTATAAAACTCCCGCTCTTCCTCCTGAGCCTGCAGGTTTTGGCTGTCTCGATCCCGTCCAGAGGCCTGCCCGCTCCCAGGCCTCTCATCAGAACTTCTCCTTTGGCGGGAATGGCCCCGGTGTCTGTCTCGGTCACTGTTCCTAGCTCTCCTGTGTTCCTGTTCTGATGATTCACGGTGCTGCCGATCCTCCCGTCCTCTCCGGGGATGATCCTCCCGCTCCTAAAATTCAAAAGGACTCAATAAATCAAAGGCAGTCCACAATTTATTTTTTAAAAAGCTGCATTCAAAAAGTCATTTGTCCTCTGGATTTTGGCAGTCAGTGTGGTGGATATGTTCCCTCACAAGGCCATGCTGCTGCTCAACTACAACCCTAACAGCACAAATTCATGGCTACAGTCCCCAAATCAAGAGATTAATTCATATACAGAGAAGAAAAAGTAATACCCTCCCTTTCAGAATATGCTTAACTACAGGCAAACCTGCAGGGAAGCATATACAGAAAATGGAACAAAGAATTAAATAGCATATCCAAGATTCAAAAAAGAAAACACTACCTTTCTCTTCTACCAAAAATGAAACCATAATAGTTAATTTTTCAAAAATCCTACTTCAGCAGTAATAAAAATTACTCAATATTGAAGAATAAGCTTAAGAAACATGAAAGATAAAAGAAATCTATAAAAATGTATTAAAGACCTGAAAAAAAATGGATAAACATACCATAATTTCATGAAAAGCAAGTGTTGAAAAACAGCCTGCCAGAAAATGTTCACCACAGGTCCCATATATTAATATACAATTAAAAATAAACAGTAAGTTCAATAGAAAAATGGGCATTAAAAAAAGCAATTTTCAGATGAAATGTCTAATAAATTCTTAAAGAGATGTTTACCCTCACTAATAACCAAACAACAAAAGTTCTAAAAATAATATGAATTTTCTTAGATCAGCAAAATTAAAAAGCTCATTTAAAAAGATCATAAAAAGATAATAGCTAGTGACAAAAAAAGAAAATGGGATATCCTCAGTCACTGCTACTGCAAATGCAAACTGGTATAGCCTACTTAGGGCAATACTGCAGTATTCAATATTGATTTCACCAACCAGTAATCCAACTCACAGGAATCTATTTTATAGAAATACCAGGCAAAAATGCACAAAGATAAATATGTAAGGATGCTTACTGCAATCTTATTTGTAGTAATAAAAACTGAAGACAATAATAAAATGGTTAAATAAATTGACTATATATTCATACAAAGGGTTACTTCAGAGTTATTTAAAAAAAAAAGGAGATAGCTTGGGAGGTTGAAATAGAAAGATCCCAAGTTCAAAGCCAGCCTCAGCAACTTAGCAAGACCTGTGTAAAAAAAAAAAAAGGAGGACTGGGGATGTGGCTCAGTGGTTAAGAGCCCCTGGGTTCAATCCCCAATACCCTCCCCACCCCCAAAAGAGTATACCTAAAATAAAAGAGAAGGGGATAAGTTTCACAATATATAGAAAAATCTCCACTCATCAGGTAAGATACTTAGAGGGGTATTCCCACTACAATTCAACTAAATACCAGATAAAACATTGTTAAACTCACAGAAAGCAAGGGAAAATCTTTGGGAGGGGGATCAACTAAACATAAGCTCAAAAATTAAAAAGCACTAGACACACAAAGAAACAAGCCTATGTTTATGAGGAACAACAGAAACAACTCCTATAGATTTAAATCCCCAAGGACTTCAGACATTKTACTAGTAAGATATAGAATATAAAGCATATTTATGTATAAAAATGTTTGCAGTTGGGCATGGTGGCACATGCCTGTAATCCCAGAACTCAGGAGGCTGAGGCAAGAGTTTTACAAGTTTGAGACCAGCCTAAGCAACTCAGCTAGACCCTGTCTCAAAATAAAATAAAAACAGTTAGGGATGTAGCTCAGTGGTAGAGCACTTGCCTAGCATGCGTGAGGCCTTGAGTTTGGTGTTTTTTCCCCAACATGGGAAAGAAGGAAAAAAGGGAGGTAGGGAGGAATTACAAGTGATTAAAGTTAACAATTTTTAAACAGCCAGAAAGCCCTAGGTTCAATCCCAGCACAGGGATGGAGGTTGAGGAGAACCAGAAAATAACAACTATTGGTAAAAACACAGAAAGACTGGAACCCTTATGTACTACTGAGAGGAATGTAAAATGGTATAGCCAAACAAAATGGTGGTCTGCAAAAAATTTAAAAACCATTATATGATTCAGTAATTTCATTTCTGGGTATGTAGAAAAGAAATGATCTGGGCAGGGTGGTGCATGCCTGTATTCCYAGCAACTCAGGAGGCTGAGGCAGGATGATCTCAAATTCAAAGCCAGCCTCAGCAATTTAGGGAGGCCCTAAGCAACTTAACAAGACCCTGTCTTGTTAACCAAAAATAAAAAAGTGCTGAGGATATGGCTCAGTGGTTAAGCACCCCTGGGTTCAATCGCCGGTATTAAAAAAAAAAAAAAAAGAAAACAGGATCTCAAACAATTATTGGTAGGTAGGCRTGGTGGGGCACGTCTGTAATCCCAGCAGCTTGGAAGGCTGAGGCARGAGGATCACGAGTTCATAGCCAGCCTCAGCAAAAGCAAGGTGCTAAGCAACTCAGTGAGACGCCGTCTCTAAATAAAATAAAAACATGGCTAGGGATGTGGCTCAGTGGTAGAGTGCCTCTGAGTTCAAAAGGATTGAACCAGGGGGTACAAAAAAATAATGTTATTTGTACATGTGGTTCAATCCTTTTGATTTCAGCAACATAATTCACAATACCCTAAAGGTAAAAGTAACCCACACCATCCATAGATGAATGGTCAAACAAAATGTGGTATATACACACAATGTAAGATTATTTAACCTTAAAAAGGAAATTCTGACATATGCTATAAGATGGACGAATCATGAGGATATTATTCTAAGTAAAATAAGCCAGACCCAGAACGACAAATAATACATCAGTCTCCTTATGAGAGTTGCCTGAAGTAGTTACATTTATAAAGACAGAAAGTAGAATGGTGGTTACCAGGGGCTGGGAAGAGAGAGGAATTATTGTTTAGTTGGTACAGAGTTTTACAAGATGAAAAAGAGTTCTAGAGAAGGATGATGTTGATGGCTACACAACAATAGGAATGTATTTAATACTAGTAATTGGATACTTTAAAAAGTTAAGAGTGAATTTTATATTTTTCCCAAAATTAGAATACTTAAACTGGGCAGAATGGTACACATCTGTAATCCCAGTGACTCAAGTGGCTGATGCAGGAGGATTGCAAATTTGAGGCCAGTGTGGGCAAATTAGCAAGACCTCTTCTCAAACCAAAATAAAACRGGGTGGGGGTTGTAGCTCAGTGGTACAGCACTGCTGCGTTCAAACCCCAATAGTGAAAAATAAAACATTAGGTGGGATAATGGATTTGTGGTTATCATTATTATTTTTTTAAATCCTCATCTTTTAGGGACATGTGCTTAAAATATTTACAGATGGAATGGTACATCCAGAACTTGCTTTAAAACAATCAATCCAGGGCAAAGAAGGAAGTGGATAGGAATAGACATGGTATGCTGACTACTTATAATTATTATTTTTTTTTWAATTCTTTTTTTTTTTTTAGAGAGAGAGTKATAGAGGGAGAGAGAGAGAGAATTTTTTAATATTTATTTTTTAGTTCTTGGCAGACACAACATCTTTGTTGGTACGTGGTGCTGAGGATCGAACCCGGGCCGCACACATGCCAGGCAAGCGCGCTACCGCTTGAGCCACATCCCCAGCCCTACTTATAATTATTTAAGCCAAGTGACAGACACATGAAGGTTCATTAAATATGCTTTATATTTTTCTCAATAAAAAGTTAAACAAAAATACCCAGATAAGGGCTGGGGATGTAACTCAGTGGCAGAGCATTTGCCTACACATGTTCAAAATCTTGTACCTCCAAAGGAAAAAAAAAAAAAAGGAAAAAGAAGCAAGCAGAGCTTTTAAAATCCTGAAGTGGGTAAACAAAAAGAAATTTGCCTCTAGAATGGTGATACTGTTTATAATCCCAATGACCTGGGAAGCTGAGGTGGAAGGATTACAAGTTCAAGATCAGCCTCAGCAACTAAGTAAGACTCTGACTCAAAATAATAAATAAATAAATAGGACTGTGAATATAGCTCAGTGGTAAAGCACCCAGGGTTTAATTCCCAGTACCAAAAGGGGRAAAAAAAATTGCTGTTTAGGTACATGGTAACCACACTGCAAAACATCAAAGCAAAAAGACCCTTTTTTGGGGGTCAGGGAGTTTTTTGGAAGCAAAGGAATAAAAAGAAGTCTCCCTATCATCAGGGAACAAGGAGGGTAGGGAAGGCATGGGCATAATCATTCTGATGTCCTGGTTTCCCCAGATGTTAAACATGTCCAGAGTCAAGAGGGACAGAACCCTGAACAATGTGAGCAAAGCTATGACCTCAGGAGAGGGTGAGGAGGAACTTCTGAGTACTGCAGCAAAAGGTCTCTCCCCACCCCAAGTCCTTCTCTCTACCATAAAGAGGGATCAAATGTACCCTGAATGCTCAGAGTAAGTTTCTCTGGATTTCCTAGCCTCTAAAAATAAGTATTCAGAGGTATACCCAAACACCGATCCCCCTCATACCTGCAAACATTATTCAAGGTGGTACCTGCCTTGAGTTCACCAGAACTAATCTTTTATGTTCTTTATCATTTAATTGATGATGATGATGATGATGATGTTGTAGTAGTAGTAGTAGTAGTAGTAGTAGTAGTAGTAGTACTGGGGACTGATCCCAGGAACACTTTAAAAAATGAGTTGCATCCCAAACCGTTTTTTTAATTTTTTGAGACAGGGTCTCACTAAATTGCTTAGGCTAACCTCAAACTTGCCACCTTTAGTACTGGGGACTGATCCCAGGAACACTTTAAAAAATGAGCTGTATCCCAAACCCTTTTTTAAATTTTTTGAGACAGGGTCTCACTAAATTGCTTAGGCTAACCTCAAACTTGCCACCTTTCTACCTCAGCCTCCCAAGTCACTGGGATTACAGGAACACACCCCAATACCCCATTATCCCTGATTTTAACAAGTATCAGTCACTAGCTGGGTATGGTGGTGCATGCCTGTAATCCCAGTGGTTCAGGAGGCTAATGCAAGAGAATCTCAAGTTCAAAGCCAGCCTTAGCAAGGCCTAAGCAATTTAGCAAGACCTTGAC